AAAAAAAACGTAATCGTAATTGTAGCTAGAACATAAAAAGTATAAATTAAGTTATATTTAAAATGATTATTCTATTATTAATAAAAAGATTTTGTTAGTTAATGCATTGAGTTATATAAATTTATTTTGTATGTTTTATGAAATTCATTTAAAAAACTAAAAAATAATAGGATTTAAATGAATTTTATATTTTGATCTATTGGTTTTTTTCTTGTTTATGAAATGTTTTTTATTTTTTATTTTCTAATCAGTCAAAATATTTGAAACTTTTATCTTTTTAAAAAGTTTAGACAATTAGATTGATTAATATAGGGTTTTTTAGTTGATTTTTTGTGCTTTGATGTAATAGTATTTTAGTTAGGACAAATGTTTATTTTATATATTTTAAATTTATTATAAATGAGTATTTTTAATATATAAATCATATAAAAAAATAAATTTTATAATAAATAAACATATTTAAATATATAAATTATATCTTGTAACGACCTGCCTAGCCATTGCACAACAAACACCACCACAAAGAATAGAGTATGCATATAAAAGAGAATATATATATACATAAGTCTAGCCTGGAGCTCAACAAGTCAAAATACAAAACTACAAAAATAGCTACACCAAGTAGCCATGAACAACAAAATCAGTTCCAGTTGCCAGCTGTAGTCCTGCTACTACACTCCATCCTATCCCTGCTCTGCTTCCATACATAGTATGATCATTGCAGTCCAACCCACATGAAAACACGCAAGGGTAAGTTAGTGAAAAGAATCAGCATATAAAGTAATTAATAACAACTTCAACTTAACAGCACATCTACATACAACACATAACAATATACATCTACATCTCAGCTTCACCACACACTGCACACATACAGCTTATGTCATTCAGCAAAATCAATATCTAACAGCTTATGCGTCGTCACGCATTTCAACTCAGAGATCTCCTACAGCAAAGGTGAACAGTTTAAGTGGCTAGGTCCTACCGAACCGACAACAAAGAACCTTTTTGGTTTGCTAGGTAAACAGTAATTTGGATATCAATCCACAACTTCACGATTTCTTAGACTTTGCCACTTAAACAAGGAAGTATGGTACTATGTCAGGATAGAACAGCTGGGTTTTAGGCCTACCACGACATTAACTAGCTTAACTAAGCCACCTATGGAATTAGCCTATCGACTATCCTCCAAATACCACAACCTTCCGATACTCAGTTAGGAACTAAGTTCCCGACTTCGTACTTTATTCGATTGGTCGCTTGTAATCGGTATAACTCGACTTGGTCCCTATACCGTGGTCGCTTTGTACACGTGTGCCTCGACCTTGCCCACACATGGGACCAACTAAGTACTTAGAGGAGAACAACACAATGACCACTCCAAGGGATAGCTTCCCAATGAGGGTTTTTAACAAATTGGACTCTAAGAGCACCACAGCTTCCTCAATCCACACAATGGGATGAGCATCTTCGAAAAACATCTCCTCTAGTCTTAGTGATCAACAGCTCAACATTTCAGCTTACACAGCTCATATTCAACAGCACAACTCAACTATTTAAAACAACATATTCAACATTCAGCACAGCTTAGGATAACGGCATTAATAGCTTAGACAGCATACAACACAGCTCGACTTAACAACAATAATCAGCATGATCATCATACAACACAGCTCAACTTTACATCATCCAGCATAAACATCATACAACATTATCAGAATTATAAAGTCAAACACCTTCGCACCCGGCGTAATAGAATTTGTGCCCGGCCTGAACCAACCAGAGAGCTCTAAAGCTCTTACGTGCCCGGCACAATTCCAATTACGCCTGGCGCAATAGAAGGCAGAGACTCCCAAAAGTCTCCCAAGCCCAGCGTACCAACTCACGCTCGGCGCAAGTAAGGCAGAGATCACCAAGGTCTCACGCCCGACGCGCTCATTCTGCGCCCGGTGCCACCCCTGGCAAAGACCCCCAGGGAGTCTCAACGCCCGACGAGATCTAATCACGCCCGATGCCATACCAGTAACTCTACTCCTTGAGTCCCTATCTGATATCACGCCCAGCACGGTTCTCCCACGCCCGACGTGAGCCATCCAGGGACTTCCATTCCCAAGCTCGCCCAGCGCAACCAACCTTGCGCCCGGCGTGCTTGATCAATGAAACTCTCTGATGGTTACACAGCCTAGATCTGTGTGCTAGGATAGTTATTAGCCTTTCTAATCACTTGAATCATCCTTTTTAAGCGTTAGAAGAAAGTCAAGACTCAAGACACAATTGTAAATTGATGCATTTTTCACCTTGGGGGAGAAGATTTATCTTGAAACTAAATTTTGAAGTTCGTATGATCTTTGTTGTTTATTATCTGAATGCATTACATTTCCTATTCACCAATTTCTCAATATGTTTGCATTTTTTTTATTTGTAAAAATTACAATGACGATAATAGAGTTTAAATCTAGGATCATGTGAATATTATCCTAACTCTCCACTAATAATCCGACCCTAGTGTAGTAGTGTCTATTCTTATCAGTTTAATATGTTTGGCTTACCTTTCCAGTATTTATAACATCTTGAGGGGTGTTGGTTTCTTTAGCAAAAACAAGCTTTTCACTCATCATTGCCTATGCTTCAATTCAATGACTCTGATGCTGCTTAGTGTTGTTGGGTACTTTAGTATTCTCACCTGTGTTGTCTTTCCAGGTGGATGCTGTGGTGTACCTGGTTGACGCTTACGACAAAGAGAGGTTTGCGGAATCTAAGAAGGAGCTTGATGCCTTGCTTTCGGATGAAGGCTTGGCAGGTGTTCCATTTCTTGTGTTAGGCAACAAGATTGACATTCCTTATGCAGCTTCGGAAGATGAGCTACGGTATCATCTAGGCCTCACCAATTTCACCACTGGCAAAGGAAAGATCAACCTCACAGACTCGAACCTTCGACCCCTTGAAGTGTTCATGTGCAGCATTGTGCGCAAGATGGGGTATGGTGATGGCTTCCAGTGGCTTTCCCAATACATCAAGTAGACTCCTTATTCATTCTTAGTTCCCCTTTCTCTTGTCAACTAGCACCGTCTGCAGTTACATCAGAAGATATTTTACCCTTGTTTTTGCTCTTGATGATTTTTGATTGGATTTTGATAGAACTGCAGTGATAATATTACATGATAAAATTTGTATCTTCAAAGATTTTTTTTGGGGGAATATTCTCCTTTGAAATACTCAATTCTGTTGTAGGGTGGTATGACTTGGCAGGAACTCTAATAAATCTGGAATGTTAGTACATTTTCTTCCCTGTTACTTAAGAATGGTAGCTGAGTTTTTTTTTTTTTTCCCTTCTCATTTCTGGCTTGTTCTGATTATGTTTTTACAACTAAGAATGGAGAGGAATGTGCTATTCGATAAAAAAAAATATTTTAATGCATTGTGTGTTGCAGTTTTTTTTTGTCTAAGACCGGATGTTTTAAAGCAATATTGGACTCTCTGATTAATTTATGATGACCTGGGAGGACTTACTGAAGGAGATAAAGTTCTTTAAATGTTTCTTTTTCTTTTTCATTTCTTTAAATGATGGCCCATGAGGCTTCTTCTTTTCTTGAGTGAAATCATGTTTTATTATTAAAAAAAAAAAAAAGCAAAGTGTTATTTTCCCCCCTCTAGTTTTTCATTTCCTTAAAAGGGGAAGGTGGACTGAACACATTTCAGTAGATTATAATATTTTTTTTTTACAAAATAAAAAGGGAGGAAGTAGTTTTAGAAAAGAAATTAACTAAGGTAACTTTTAAAAACAAGTTGCACACAATGAATTAATTGATATGAGATCAAACGATAAAACTTTTAGTCTTAAAAGACATTTAAGCTAAATTGATTCGCAACTTTTATATTTTTAAAATTTTTATCTTATGTTTTAACTTTAAAGTAATTGTAAGTTGTAAAATATTGGGGACAAATATAGCCAGACTAAATTCGATATCTTTTAGATCGGCATTGAATATATTGTGATTTAAATGAGTCCTAATGTCGTTAAATTTATTAAATCATATGATGATTATTTTTTTAAAAATTATTTTAGAGTATAGGTTTGAGTTTTTATTTTCAAAACTATGTAGTCATAATATTTTATTGTAACTATTTTATCAGTTTTTTTAGAGAAATTTTAATGAACTTTTAACTTTTCATATAAAATTAAACCAATATTTATTTAATTATTCAACCAAATTAGATTTTTAGTTTTTTTAATCTGAAATCGCACTCACCTATGTTTTCAGTATTTTTAGTTATATATATATATATATATAAATATATATATATATATTTATTAAAATGTTCAAATAATATTTTATTAACTATTATACTGCTTAATAATTTTTAATTAAATGTAATTTTTTTAAAATTTATTATTAGATTGAAAGTTCTCACTCCTAAATTACATTTACAAAATTTTTTATTAATTCAAAATAATTTAATATTTCATTTATATATATATATATATATATATATATATTTCAAAATTATTAAAATATAAACATTTTAATAATCTTCAATTTTAACATAATTAAATATAAAGATAAAATATAATATAAAATTATAATTAATGATTAGATTGACAGAATTTACATTTAATATAACATGATATAAAACTAAAATTCACATTTATTAAATTTGATTTAAAAATGTTACTTATATATTGTATTGAGATATTTATTATTTTAAATACGTACGTGATGTTATGGGTCTCTCTACTATTCACTTTCGAATTATTTTCCCCAACTCACGCACAGGTTCTTCATCAGACCCACCACTAGCAGTGAACACAATGCTCCCTCTCTTTCTCGGAACCATTATCTTAGCGGCGTAAAAACAACTGAACACGTTCACCTTAAAAACGCTCTTCAACTCACCAGGGTCATAACCACTTTTCAAGTACCCCACGATCTTGCTTCGACCAACCTATATGCTAGCTACGTAGTTGCTTCTCTATTCCACCACAGCCAATTCTAAATCCATATACGTCACTTTTCACATGCAAATGACCTGTTGTTATGTATTCAGGAGCAGCATAGCCGTGAGTCCCCATAACCTGGTCCGGCTCCCAGTACCGAAAACACAGTCCCTCTTGAAGAAGCAACAATGTCTCTCTCTCTTAAACACGTGTCGTTCAATGGACCAACTCCGCCAAATCCAGGCACAAATCCACGTCTCTGGTCTCTACCAAGACACCCACATTCTCTCCCAACTCGTCTACTTCTGCTCCCTCTCTCCCTCCAACAACCTCTGCCATGCGCGCACCCTCCTTCACCACTCTGCCACCCCATCACCCATTTCCTGGAACCTCCTCATCCGAGGCTACGCCGTCAACGGTTCCCCCATTCAAGCCTTCTGGGTATTTCGGAAAATGAGAGAACGCGGCGTTATGCCCAACAAACTCACCTTTCCTTTCCTCATCAAGTGTTGCGCTGCTTCTTGTGCTCTTAATGAGGGCAAGCAGGCGCACGCGGACGCTGTTAAGTGTGGGTTGGACTCCGACGTTTACGTGGGTAACAATTTGATTAACTTTTATGGGTGTTGTAAGAAGATTGTGCATGCGTGTAAGGTGTTCGAGGAAATGCCTGACAGAACTGTTGTTTCTTGGAACTCTGTTATGACTGCTTGTGTTGAGAGTCTGAGGTTGGATGATGGGATTGGGTATTTTTTCAGAATGAGGGGTTATGGGTTTGAGCCTGATGAGACTTCCATGGTGGTGGTGTTGTCTGCTTGTGCTAAGTTGGGGTACTTGAGCCTGGGAAGGTGGGTTCATTCGCTATTGGTTTTGAGAGGGGTGGTTCTAAGTGTTCAGTTAGGCACTGCTCTTGTTGACATGTATGGAAAGTCTGGGGCTTTGGGTAATGCAAGGGCCATTTTTGAGAGAATGGGAAAGAGGAATGTGTGGACGTGGAGTGCAATGATATTAGGGTTGGCTCAACATGGGTTTGCTGAGGAAGCCCTTGCATTATTTGCAATGATGAGTAATGGTAACCGTGATATATGCCCAAATTATGTGACTTATCTTGGGGTTCTTTGTGCTTGTAGCCATGCTGGGATGGTGGATGAGGGTTACCGGTATTTTCATGAAATGGAACGTGTCCATGGGATCAAGCCCCTGATGACGCATTATGGAGCCATGGTTGACGTCTTGGGCCGTGCTGGTCGTCTTAGAGAAGCTTATGAGTTTGTAGAGAGCATGCCTGAGCTTGACCCGGTCGTGTGGAGGACGTTACTTAGTGCATGCACCGTTCATGATGTGCATGACCATACAGGGATTGGAGAGGTTGCTAGAGATGGAGCCAAGGAGGGGAGGGAACTTGGTTATTGTTGCTAATATATATGCTGAAGTGGGGAAGTGGGAGGAAGCGGCAAATGTGAGGAGGGTCATGAGAGATGGAGGGGTGAAGAAGATTGCTGGTGAGAGTTGTGTTGACTTAGGTGGGTCCATGCGTAGGTTCTTCGCGGGGTATGATCCCTGCTCTGATTTGATGCCTGTCTATCATGTGCTCCACGGATTGAACCTGCATTTGAAGATGGTTGACTAATACTTGTAATAGTAGTGGATTTCAATGAAGACTAATTGGTATTGAAATTAAAGAAGGGCAAATGATAAGTTCTTTTGACATTCATTTTTATAAATTAGCCATTTATTTTTATATTATTTCCAAGAATGTTTTGTGGCTATTTTCTGTTTAAATCATTTCTGAAATTTGTTCATTTTCACATGGTTAATCATTTTTTTTCTTACCAGTTCTCAGAAAAAAATTTCAAAATAGAAAATAATTTATTCATAAAGTTGTGCATAATCTTCCAACTGCTGGATACATGAATGTCATCAAAACCCGTGAGTGGCAACGCCAAGGTAAGCTGGTTAGATGCACAATGTCGTAATGGAACAGCCTAACGCTTGGAATTTTCTGTACAAAAACAAAAGGATCTAGGATGCCAATTTCACTATCATTCACTAATGATTTTTTGGTATCCTCCTGCAGAGATAATTTTATATGAGGTATTATCATAAATTAAATCCAAATACCTCTTCTAGTCGAAATTCAAATATTTGTTTTTTCGTTTTTTGGGTTCAATTATATGAAGAAGCCTTCTAATGCTCCTTGGGCCTTTTGATTTTGGGCTGTCTCATTACCACTTGGATTTCTGATTGGGCTTACATCAGCCTTTTACGGAATTTCCCTTTCTAATTTAATCCATTACCTATGTTGGACTTCCGAAGGCAGAGAGCAGTGTCATATTCCAACTTTCATCAAGTAGAGGCTTGTTATATGACTAGTTATGAATTTTCACAAATCACTTGTTATCATGGTTGGGAACTCAGCAAGCTAAAAATTGAGGATAAAGATTTCAAAGAAAAATGGAAATGTTGGTAAATACTCCAAAAAACACTCCATATCATGCTTAAGCTTGTGAGCTATGGAATTCTTTGTAATATTTAATTCAAATGATATATATATAATTCAACCCCCTCCAAATTTATAAAATCATAGGCTTTTTTAAAACTAATCTTCAAAATCATTCATTCATTTGAGGATGTTTTAGTCATGTCTATACTAACTCATTAATAACCAGAACAATATCTAGAATTTGCTTCCCAAGCAGGAAAGCAAATTAAAAAGGATATAATAATAATAATAATAATAATAATAATAATAATAATAATAATAATAATAATAATAATAATAAACTCATCCGACTTTAGCGTAGAAGGTAATATCCTGAAAATATTTTTCGTAGATATAGTTATGTTAATAGTCTACCTAATGGAAACTTGGAACATAATTAACCAACAATTAAGCAATAAAATATTTGTTTGGAGGAAAAAAAGTCTTACTCAGAAAAGTGAGGGTAATATATTCTAATTGTTGAATATGAATTAATATATATATATATATATATATATATATATATAGGGTTTATTGTAAAATATCGTATTAAAAAATCCATTTTTTGGGGTAAAATAATTACTACGTAATCTCGCAGTAGCTGTGTTGGGAAAATAAGAATATAAATGAATTACTTAAAGATTAAACTTAAAAATATAATCAATGGAAAGGGTACAAATTTAAGTTTCATTTATGTTAAATAATCATGTACCTGTGTATGTTAATTGAAGGAACAATTTTTTTCTATTAATTTTGGAAGAAAATTAGCAATAATTTTTTATTTAATAACTTTTAGGTGAGTTTCACAAATAAATAAATAAATAAAAGTAGATGGAGTTTTTTTAATAGGAATGCGTAAATTTTACCAAATAATGAAAAGTATATTAAAAAAATGATAAAGTATTTTAATTTCTAAACATAAAAAACTATACACCCAAAAACAAGTACATGTTTATAAGGAAATTGTTTTAAATGAAAATATAAAATCTTTTCCATACTCGAGCGCCTCCAGTTAATTGTCTGTTGTAATTGTAAGTGAAAAAAATTGGAAGCAACCCAATAAAATTTGTGAGCTTCGTTCAGTCTCTGGAAAAAGCCATGTCAAATCATATCCACTGGTTTTAACACCTTTCAGCATAAGTCAGCACATAACATGAACACAATTTTATTAGGTGGCAACATTTGAACCTAGGATTCACCACCCAAAATTTTGGCACATAAGAGCATTTATAACGGGAGTTGCTTATAAGCAACCTCCAGTATCACATTACTGTCATATTAATTCTGGCTCACTTTATGAGTTGTTTAAATTTTAATAAAGTTATTTCTACAGGAAGTTGCTTATAAACAACCCTCCATTGGAGATGCTCTAACATAATACCTTTACAAATTATTCAACTTTCAAGTCACACCTTTCGTGCTCACAAGGTGACTCACCTCATTAAAATCACATGTAAATTTGTCATTGGTTTACAAACAAGATGTCAATCTGTCATTGGTTTACAAACAAGAGCATCAAAACCCCTTCAAATAAAATGCAATTATTATACAACAATTCTTCCCCAATGACGCGTACCAGCCAATCAAAATGCAGTGCACACTCTGTCAACAACACCCAACACTTATTTATTTATTGTTCTTTCTATGCATATTTATTAAACTCTTTAACAACTATTTTTTAAAACAATTTTTTACGGCTCAATAATTATATCTCTCCTAAAATATGGAAATTAGTTTTAAAATAAGGGGTATTGCATTAAGCAAAGTATAGAGGAGTATATGAAAAATGTGATAGTAAGAGTGATTTGACATTTAATTTATTCACACGTTACCAATGCCATTATAAAAGCGCGCGCATTCCTTTAGTTTTCTATGTGTCTTCTGATTCTTGTCATTGTTTTCATAATCCCATCAAAAGTTTCGAAGAAAAAAGAAATGTTTCTTCTTGATTGGTTGTACGGAATTCTTGCAACCTTGGGTCTGTCACAAAAGGAGGCTAAGATCTTGTTCCTTGGTTTAGATAACGCTGGCAAGACCACTTTGCTTCAAATGCTCAAAGATGAGGTCATTTTTACAATACTTTATTTGATAAACATTCTAGTTACATTCTAAGTTCAATCATTCAAAACAGTTTTACTAAACTCTAATATATGGGTATGTTCTATAGTTAATTTCATTATTTTTAAAATGATCGAACTATATTTATAGCAAAATCAATTTTTAAATTCACAGCTGTCACTACTAGATTTTAACTCTTTAATAACATTTTCTTTCTTACATTTGTTAAAATGTTACTATATATTAAATAAATAGATTATTTTATAATATTTTTCTAAAAAATGTCATTATAGATAGAGTAATATTTTTTATTTTAATATTATTCTTTCTAATTATTTTCAAAAAAATTAAAGTTTCATATCGAGTAAAAAAATATCACATAAGTTATTTTGCAACATTTTATTTTGAAAAATATTGCTATAATTGTTTCTAAAATCAAAGTTTCACACTGAATAAAAAAAATATATTTCTCTCATCTCTAATTATTACCCATAATTAAAGTTTCACATTGAATAGACGAATGACTCATATAAACTATATATAATTATATAGTTATACTTAAGATAAATGAACTTTGATATTTTATATATAATTAGTGGTGACTAATTCAGAATGTCTTTCCTTAAAATCTCAACATCATTAAAACGTTACAAAAATATTATTTTGATAATATTTGAAAAATGTTGCCTAATTATGTAAAAATATTATTAAAAGTTTTTAGCAACATAAATTATATACAACATTTAATAATATGTTGCTAAAGTAAATTAGTAACATTTATACACAATTAAGTAACATTTTCTAAATGTTACTAAAAGTTATTTGTGTTATAGTGTGTTAGGAGCTTTTTTATTAAATAAAATTCAGTTTTAGAATTTTATTTGCCTAGATAGATTTATAATTATGCATTCAAGATTTTTTTTTTCAAATAACATTCAATACAAAAATCACGTTATTTTTGAATTCACTTTTATTTAAAATTAATTCCACAAATTCACGTTAATTTAAAATTAAATATATGAATACATATTAACATTGAGAAGTTGAAATTGTGCAGAGACTAGTTCAGCATCAACCCACTCAATTCCCAACTTCAGAGGAGTTGAATATTGGGAATATTAAATTCAAAGTCTTCGATTTGGGTGGCCACCAGATTGCTCGTAGAGTCTGGAGGGACTATTATGCTAAGGTTTCTTTCTGCTACAATTTTTTTTTTTAATTTTTATTTGTAGAGATCCTATGTAGATTAGTAATATAGTTAAATTAGTGTATATTAGTGTTTTCATCTTATAAGTTAATTTTGTAATGTTAAGTTGGAATTCAAATTTACTTTCTAAACCTTATAAATAAATAAATTATACATTTTCAAAGCAATATAGGACATTTTAAGCTGATTTTTATTTTTTTATTTATTTGAGTGATGTATTTGTCGGTTCTTCTTTAAATAATATATGCGTGATTAATTTCTTGAGGAGATAAATTTGCACGAACAATTTAGACTACAATTTTAGAAAGTAAGCATTTTCTAGTATAGCTTCAATAAAGAATAAATTGATTTTCATTCGTTTCGTTTAATAGTTTATATACTCTCCATTTTAAAAAAAATGTTTTATAAATTGAAGTAAATATGTAATTAGTGTCAATTAATTATTAGAAAATTCTTGGGTATTCTAAGACTGATAGTTTAATACCCTGGTTGGTGATTGGTTGAGATTTTATCTAAATATTATTATGAAATATTTTGAGTTTAATTCAACAATATATACATTGTTGTGGGTATAAGTTAATAACTATATACATATTATACTTTTAAGCAAATGATCCATGTTATTACTAACACGATGTTGTATAATTGACTGATAATTGTATTCTTTATGTGGTGAAGTTCAATTTCTAGATTCATGTGTACAAGAGTATTGTCTAGAGGGATTAGTTCCTTCAAGATTTTAATAATTCGAAAGATTAGTCTCTAATTCTTTGTAGAAGATACTTGACAACCAAAAAATAAATTGATAGTTATTAAATATAAGAAATTCTCCTAAATTTGCACTTTTGATGCATCTGGCATAATTGAACGTTGCATGACGTAGGTTGATGCAGTGGTGTACGTGGTGGATGCACATGACAAGGAGAGGTTCCCAGAATCAAAAAAGGAGTTGAATGCTCTTCTATCTGATGACTCATTAGAAAATGTACCTGTTCTTGTACTAGGAAACAAGATTGACATAGTTGATGCTGCATCAGAAGAGGAGTTAAGGTATCATTTGGGCCTCACCAACTTCACTACAGGAAAAGGCATGGTCAATCTTAAGGACTCCAATATTCGGCCTCTAGAAGTGTTCATGTGCACTATTGCTCGCAAGATGGGGTTTGGAGAAGGCTTCAAGTGGCTCTCTCAGTACATCAAATAGAGAACATGGTGTGCTCCTACATGTTGATCATTGTCACCATGTTCATGCAATACCAGCACAAGTATTTGTTGTATTCAGCCATGTAACTTGGAAACTTCTCTGGTGGTTTTGATTTTTTACTGTCATGAGGCTTGCTTGTTTCTATTTATTTTTTTAAACTTTGCTGTATATATTGGTTGTTGCAAGAAGCAAAATAACAATTCTTCTAGCTTCCTTACACTTATATTTATGATTGTTTTGAAGCTTCAAATTAGTTTTTAATTATAAAATGTAAAGGCGTTAAATATTTTTTTATTAAGAGGTTTTAACAATTTTTAATGATACAATGACTAACCACAAACAATATTAAAAAATATGATATCAAAATTGAAAATCATTTACAATAAATGAAATTATAAAGAATAAAAGAGAAGTAAATAAAATTATAGAAACTAAAAATATTTTTTTAAAAAAATAACATAAAAAATGTTGCACTTGCCACATTATAAAATGCAAATAACATAAATAAAAAATAAACAACAATAACTAAAAGGGAAAATAATATATATATATATATATACATACACACACATATAAATAAGAAACTAAAAATAGATATTTTAAACTATAAAAACTAAATCAAAAAAATAAAATAAAACTATAGGAAAAAAACGTAATTATATATAAAAGATAAGAATTGAAAGTAACTCTAAAGAATTACTCGTCTTTCGAATAAATAGATCATTTATCTCTCTCTATATAATAATATATTATATATTATAATAAACGAAATAACTAAATTCAGTATCTAAAAGAATACTATCGTGCTATACATCAATCATCAGATAGTGAACTCGTAAATATTACATAGAAGAGTTCTGACAACAATTACGTTTGTTCAAATAAGAATGCTTGTTACTAAGTTACAAACTTGGTCTTGCATCATAAGCATCCACCATAGAGAGCTTAATTAATAATTACACATAAACGACCCATTCAAGGTACTTAAGCAATATGAAAGGGTCACGGGTACAGATCTACACTAGGGAATTTACAGGATCTAAGTGCTATACAAAAGAAGACACCAAGCTATCACTAGTTTGTTACACTAGTTGGCTACCTCCCAGTTATGGGAAACACACCTTGTTTTTGGAAGAGACCAAGCTATGTATTGGATAACATGTCATCTTCAGCATTGAGGAATTCTTCTAATTCCAATTCCAGCTGCACAAAGCAGTTCAACAAAGTAAACAAACACGTGAAATCAAATCAAAACATGACAAAAACATTTGCATATATTAGTCACCTTTGCTTGATCATGTGCCAGCTTCATCCTTCTGTATTCTTCCTGTGCTTTCTTAGAACGGAACATGGCCTGCACGCGTATGACAGACCTCTCAACACGTTCTTCGGCTTGTTTCCGGCCAGTCCGGAAGAACTCCTCCTCCACATCACTTTCCTGCAACTCCTCCTCGGCAGCATTAACCTGGAGACCGCGGAAACCTTTTCTCTTTAAACGCCATCGCAGGATTGCTTTCTCTAGCACCCCAACAGACCATATGATTTTATGGTATTGTTTCCGCGCTTGAAAGCCCCTGAAAGCAGCCTGCGTTCAAAACATGTGCCATTAATCTTCTACAGGGTGTAAATTGTTGTAAAGAGAGGATTGATCTTTTGCAGACTAGAAAGAGTTTTGAGAGATTCTCTACTAAAAATAAGGGTAAACTTTTTTTTTTCCATGATGGTGGTTTTTTTTTCCCATGATGGTGGTCATTCAGCTAGATTCTATTCAAACTAGTAAAAATTATTAAAAGTCAAGAACAAAAATAGTTCACTTGTCAAGTTCAAATATGTGGTCTGTTATAGTACTAGGATGATCTTGGGTTGCCTCATAACTTGTGGAACAGGACACATTAAGATCTGAGCCAATTGACATGAATTCAAATTGACTCCAAAAATAACATCAATTTTCAATATGACATGTTAACTCAGGACAATCAACAATAACAGACGGGAAGAGTAGCTCTTACTTGAATTTTAATAGCCTGACGCCGCATGTTGAGAAATTCTCTACTGTGCTTCCATGTACGGAATCTAAGCTGAATCTGAGAAGCGGCTGCCATCTTTTTCTTTGACTTGTAGTTGCGATAGCCATGTTGGATCCTCATTGCTGCTACTATTTGACGTGCTTCATCCTCTGGGCTGATAGATTCAACTGCCTGAAATCGTAATTTTAACGAATGCTCCCTAAATGCTGCTTGAATGCGCGCTGCTGCCTCAGCAGCTGTACGATAAGCTTCCAACGTGTCCTTTAGGTAGAGTTGGTCCTCAGAAAGGTTCTCAGAATTCACTGGATCAGTTGATCTAGTTTCCAGTGAGCCACTCATATTTCCAGCTAAGCTCATGTCATTGAACTGCTCAACCAGAGACTTTTCAGAAAGGTAAGCTGCCAAGCCATCACACCCCTTCATATAAGCAAGATCAGCAGCAGTACATCCACCAGGATTTTGTGGAGTTGGATCTGTGACCAAGTTTGGCTTTGCCCCGGAAGACAACAGGGTTGCAACCATTTTCTCCCTGCAAACACAAATTTTAAATCAAATAAATAATGAAAAGTTAGTTCATGCTCATTACTGGAAACTGAAAACATCATATAGTGCCTAATTTCATGATAAGATCGTATAGATTATGTTGTCTGATTATCTTTACAGTGAAAGGAACTTGAACAGTGAAGTCAAGACAGAAAACGTTTTTCAGGCCAATTTGGTTGCAGCTAGGCAAATTGTTCAGACAAGTAAGGTATCCGTGTATCATACATTCCATAATATGCTGCCCAATGAAGAGCTGTCCATCCAAATTTGTCGCGGAAATCCAGTGACAAGCCTGACCAACTAAATAACGAAATTGCCCAATTATATCCCAGCATTGCGCACAAATGAATTACACCTTGGCCTTGCGCATCATATTCAGAAGTCTTGTAGCCTAGGACAATTCGTTCCAAAAGCCATTCCTTTAATTTGTTTTTCAACGCAACCTCAAACAAGGCATCTTTTACTTGTGAAAATGGAATTGTTTGGTCATCAATTGACTTAATAAAATATTGCCAACTTTTGGAGATAAAAGATGTTTTGGAGGAAAAACTTCTAGCCTGTTTCAATGCATTAGGTGATACTTTACTTGAGAAAATGTTAAGGCTTTTATCTGTAGCAAAGAGCAAATAAGCAAGCCTTATCTGAAGTCGAAACTTATTCCAGTTGTATTTGTCTTCCATTGCAGCAGTTGGATCATGCAAAATAGGAGTACGATACTCAAAATTAACAACTTGGCTAATAGGCTTATGGCCATCGAAGCTCAAATAGAGATTCACCAATCCAGGAGAATGTGGTGATACCCAGCACCGGTAAACTCCAATCTGAACAATTTCTACAGGAACACTTACATCACCACAGACACACAGTAGGTTGGACTTTGCAAGGTGTTGATAGTTATTATGAAAATATCCAGTCACCAAGATCTGCAAGAAGTAAAGAGACATGAAATGTTTACTTATTATTGCCAAAAAAAAAATGATAAGAAATGTAGGAATTGGATGCTTGTATTGTAGCCAGAGTGCTAGTGGTGCCTACTGAAAATGCATTTTTTTACATTGAAAAAGAATTGACAGCAAGTACTCCTCATGGAGTTTTAGGTTTTGTAGTTTATAGCTTTGAAATTCCACAGCCATATTATATTGTCTAAATGCTGCATGAAAATGCTGAGAAATCAACTAAGAAACCAAATATTACAGTTGGTGATAAAGGGTACGATCATAACAAAAAATTACTAGATATTAGACATCAGAGAAAAGCAAAAGGAAACCTTTGTTTTCTCTGTGGAAGATGCCCATGCAGGGGACACCTCAGTGAGATTAAATACTTGTTCTGGCAGAGCATGTTGCTGATTATCAGCCTCCAGTGACAAATATGGTTCATGAACAGATGAAGAAATTGGTGCTTCGAGAGCTGACTCATCTATAGAACATGGTGTATC